CCCCCCCACACACACACACACACAGCACAGACACTTTTTTCTCCACTCCCCTCTGGCAAGAGATTGTGGCAGTAAAACCACTAGTCTGAGGAACAGCTTCTACCCTGAAGCTGTTAGACTCACAAGTCCCTAACCAGGAAAATCACTGTAGTGCCACTGTAATTGGTGATATGTGACTTTATCTGTGCTGCTGATTATCTCATGCTGCTGATTTCTTACACATAAACTGCTATATTCATACACAACAGACTCATGTACAGGCTGCTGTTTAATACAGTGCACTACACTATATTACATTATTGTTGTTTAGCATATATCCTAGATCCTTTTATACTGTTTCTTCTTTTTATCCTTTATATTTTTGCAATTTTTGGGTGTAACTGGGACCTTGAGTACACAGTTTCGTTCCACCTCATGTGACATGAATGACAAATAATGAGCCTAAACCAATAAAGAACCTTGAACCTTACAACATGTATGGATGGAGGATATTTCCAATTAATCCTTTTTGCTCTGCGACAGGGGGCATTAAGTAAAAATAATAATAATTATTATATGCAATAGTGCTATATTTGTATTGTAACCATTGGGTAACAAACAATAGGCTATATTGTAGTTAAATATGTAAAGAAGGCTTCATTTGATACTTTAAGACTGCTGAAAAAAAAATCTAATGACTTTGTGAAAACATTATTTTGTTGTGTAGTCCTAAATTAAAGTTAAAACAAAATCAGTTTCTACATAATCTTAAAAGTCAAATTATGTCATTTTAATACTTAGAGAGAAAGCAATTTTCTGAGAACATGGCCAGTAATTTCCAAATAAACTCAAAGCAAAGCAAAGAAACCACAATATTGTCTCCTCATAGCTAACATGAAACACATTTGTTAGTTTGGGCTGTGAAGTCTCCATTGTCATGATAATTAAATTAAATAAGCATAATGGACAGCACATTCTGCAAGTAATGAGGGCTGCATCTGTAATAAATCAACATGCTGGTCATGTTCTAAAAAACTATTAGTGTGTAATGAATGTTTATTGAGGTGCTTCTGTGTTGTTCAAGGACAGTGTTGATAAAAGATTTGTGTTTTTCTGACCTGTGATGACAATTACTGACTAATGTGCCTCCTCTGATGGAATATTATTTTTTTTAATTTATAAAATGTCATTCTTTTCAAAACAAAAATGGATCCATAATGGAAAAGTTGTGTGTGAAAACTAAGTTTGCTCCATAATTTAACAGCTTGTAGAAACACTTTTGGTAGAAATAACTTGAAGTGTTCATTTATCGGTCTTTTACACAATTCTGGAGGAATTTTGTCCCACTTTTCTTTCCAATGATGCTTCAGTTCATGGAGGTTTGTAGACATTTCTTTCTTCACAGCTCTCTTCAGAGCTGACTGCGGCATTGGCTGAGGTCTCAGCTTTGAACTTTTGAAACACTTTGATTCTTTTCCCTCTCAGCTATTCTGTTGTACTGTAGATTAGCTGCAGTCTTTATGATCATTGTTGTGCTGCACAATAACTCAGTTTGGTCCAAGCTTCATCTATCAGACAGATGGCCTCACATTTGTTTCTAGACCATGTTGGTCTACAGAGAAGTTCATGGTCAACTCAGTGATTACATTTCCCAGGCCATTCAACAAAACAAGTCTAAATCATCTGCCCTCCATTACCATGCTGGCAATTTGTAGGAGGTTTTTGTGACGATATATTTTGTTTGGGTTTTGCCAAACGAGACACTGAACATTATGGGTAAATGAGAGGATCTTTGTGTTATTTGTCTTTTCGTCCCAGCTGCAGCTGCAGTCCCCTCGTCTGACTTGCCAGCTGTAGCCCCCTCATCTGATGAGTCCCTAGTCGGACTCATCACCGCCTGCAGCTCCCATCGCTGGTTCGCCTGCTATGGATCTCATCACTGGTTTGCTGTCTGCGTCTCTCATCGCTGGTTTACCATCTGGTTCGCCTGCCGCCGCCGCAGTCTCCCCTGTAGTCTTTTCACCCCTCGTTCTACTGATCCCAAGTGACTCCAGGTGGACATCGGTTGCCAAAGATGGACTGTCTCCTGGCCGTCCGCCTGAGCTCCTGTCCTGCTCTGGAAAGTCTCTGTGTTGTCTGCCTGAACTAGTCCCATGGTGGATGGTCTCCGGACCGTTGGCCTGAACCCCTTGTGTTTTGCTTTTGAGCTTTTTTATGTATTTGTTCCCAGGTTTTTTGATCCTGTTGGTTTTCTGTTTTATGATTTTTCCCTTGTGTTCTTCATTTCTACAAAAAAATTGTATAAACGTTTAGTCTTTCATCCGAAATACATTTTTTGGATGAAAGACTAAATGTTTCCACATTTTTTTTTTTGTTTTTTTAACCTGCCTAGAGGACCTGACTTAACTTTTTTAGATTTTTCTACCTGGATTATTGAGCATGCATCAGGATAAAAAGGAAAGAAAATGTTTCTGGTTTAAATTTCATAAAAACTAGAACAACATGTCAGGCCTTCCATGTTCTTAGAGTGGGCTGATATAACTACAAGGTTCATCATTTCTTCTTAGACTATTTTTACCCAGGTCAACATGAAAATGCAATTTGGAGCAATGACAGCATGACAAACTCAGTCATTACAATAACCTCCACTCACACAATGCTCAAACACCTCCAGGTAGTATGGATTTGTTTGCATTGAGTGTTTAACAATTTCCTTCCTCGAATGCTCAAATTATCTTTGAATGCAAATAATTTTGACGGATGAGGCTATCCTATGGCCAGGTTTGAGTAATAATTTTCTCAAATTCTCTCAAGTACCACATGATGTTACAGGTGTGGAGGACAACTGAGAGTCTAAAATGTGATTTTAACTTCTCTTCCCTCCATCCACCTTGAAAAAACAGCTTTATCCTCTACTAAATCAGAGAACAGAAGAGATAAAACCATCTGTGTTGCCTTGGGACCTAGAAAGTAAGTGAATTGATGGTATAATTTAGAGCACCAGACTTCCTAAACCTAAGTGGTGCATGATGACTAACTCCTGGCTATTCTGTGAGGTAGTTTACAATGTGACTTTGGACAGCCACATATTAAACTTCTTACTGAGCAGTTTAATTTGTTCTCAAAATCCAGCAGATTTTACTCCCTGGAGCCATAATAGTTATCTGTCTAAGCTACAGCTACTGAGCCTGTGTAAATCCACCGAGTGCACAACAAACACAATCTGTGTTAAGCAGACAAACTCCCTCTATGGCAGATCTTGACATGGTCTTAAAAGACTGCTAGAGTTTGATTACTGCACCAACAGATAACAGATCTGCAGAATCAGCAGGGTAGGAACAGCTCAAAAAACCTCCAGGAACCAGAAGCACACACTGAGGGAGCTGCTTTCAGAAGTCCTAACCCTATGAATTATGGAGAAATGTAGCTGCATGTTTAATCTTTATCCTTCATATAAAGGCAGCTATGTAATGTTAGGGAAAAAAAAAGAAAACATTTAGTGTGTATCTGTCATAATCCTGTTGTTCTTTTTCCCCTGAGCAGACAGTCAAACTAAAAATGGGAGGCCAAAAAATACAACTGTGGACAACAATGGCTAAACTGTCAAATGAAATGCTAAAAATGATATTAAGCTTGCTAACATCTCTTCCTAGGCTGTCATTGAGGTGGCAGCTTCTGTTTCTCCTCCCCCGTTTTCCTTCTTCCTGCTCTGCTCTCTGTGTGTCTGAAGCGCCTGGGTC